AATAAACAAAATGTTTAGCCAGCCCAACAGTTATAAGAGCCATGGGTAAAGTGGACAGGGAAGGTGGTTGCTGGGGTTCTTGAGGAAGTGATTCAGACAAGGAGTGGGGGGCAGATGGTTTGTGAGTGAATCCAGTGTGATCAGACAGGAAGAGCGGGGAGAAGTGTCAAGGAGGTGACCTGAGCCTGACCTGGAATCATTCTGATTTTTTAAGGCATTTTTAAAATTGGTATGTTTGTGATACATAATAAATACCATCCTCATGGGAGACTGGTAACATACATAATCTGCCTTTGGCTTTCAAAGAAGATTTAAAATCCCCATTTAGGATTAAAAATACAACTCATCATTCAAAGTTCAGCTACTTTTACTCTCACATGGCAATGCTTTTATTAAACTTATAGCCTTTAAAACTTTTCAAAAGTAGTTAATAGCTATTCACATAAGAAACTATGAAATCTGAGGCTGGGGATTTAGCTCAGCGGCAAAAGCGCCTGCCTGGCAAGTGCAAGGTTGTGAGTTCGGTTCCCGGTACCAGAGAAAAACCAAAAAAAAAAAAAAAAAAAAAAAAAGAAACTATGAAATCTTAGAGTTGGAAGCAACTTTAGGGATGAAGATCCTGCAGTGTGTAACTGATGAAAATGAGATCTAAAACTGTCAATTAAATTATATATACATATTATGGAAAAGTTATTCTTCCAGGTGAAACTGTTTGTCTTAAGCTATAAAACTAATTAATAGTGAAGGTAATACCAGGGACTAGACTCTTTTGAGCTCATGAAGAAAATTTTTCCTTAGTGTCCAATATGGTGAAAACTAGGGGATCAACTGTTGATCCAACAACCTAAATGTATGAGAGAGAAAATTTGGCACCAGAGATGTTAAGCTAAAAGTAGGAATCAGCAGACATTTTCAGTTCTCTACAAGCCGAAGAATAGAGAAAGAACAGAGAGGGATTAGCCCAGAATCCTGCTGAGATGTCTCACACTGTCCCTGGAAGGACAAGCAACCAATTGCAGATACTGGAGGCCTGCCTGATCCTGGGCACAGCCAAGGAAGGAGAAGAGAGAGCACATGTGTTCCACTACCTGATATTCAGCTGAGTTCCACCACCGTGTATTAACTGTCTTCTTTAAATACACCTCAGCTTCTTTTAGCTGCAGCTCTAACTCCTGGAGCTTGTGCTGCCTGAGCACCAGCTGTCTGCTGAGCTTATCTTCCTCCTTGCCACAAAGCCAAAGCAAATCTATGCTTTTCCTTGTCCCATGTGCTGTTCTGCTCTAAGGGGCTCGGCATTACTTCTCATGTTTCCCTCTCCTTATTCTGAGTCTTTTGCTTTCTTGTCTAAAATATAAAAACTGTGATCTTAGGGAATGTTGGGAGACTAGTTCAGAATCTCAAGAGTTTGAGGGGATAGCAGGTAGAGCAACAGAAAATGTTGACCAAAAACCATTAGGATTGCAGGGAGGGTCAACAACAAAATGCTATACTGAGTGCCCAATGAAACCTGACTTCCAGATAAAAGTATATTGTAACTGTTGCTGGATACTTAAAAATTATATATTATGTTAATTTGTCTAAAATTCAAGTTAATCTAGGTATTTTGTATTTTTAATTGCAAAATCTGACAAAGTTACACTTGTGAGAAATGAGGGCCGGGAAGTGGTAGGTACCAGAGTTTGTCTTTGTTCGGGTTGTATGAGATAGGCAACAGACAAGAGAAAAAGGGGAAAGAAGCACATAGTTCTTTAAGAGTAAAATCCATTACTGGATGTCTTGCTGTACCTGTGATCCATGCATGTGTGTCTGCACACATATGTATATGTACTTCAATTTCATAGGACACAGGGCCTGATCTTAGGGGAAAACTTTGACAGTCATACTGAGTATAGACATTGAACAAATAACGACTAGAAGCCTGCTGTGGTGGCACATGCCTCTAATTCCAGTACTCTGGGCAGCTGAGGCAGGGGAATTGCAAGTTTAAGCCCAGCCTAGGCAACTTAGTGAGATACTGTCTCAAACATTATAAAAACAGCTTGGGATGTAGCTCAGTACAAAGGCCCTGGGTTCAATTCCCAGTACTGAAAAAAGAACAACAAGATTAAAACTGAAAAAATACAATCAGTTAGCAACACTCATTAAATTTAGTAAACTGCAGTGGTTTATGGCCATCACAGTGATGCCATTTTACTTGTTTCCAGATAAGCTCTACGTATCTTCAGAGAATCATAATGAAAGGGTCTAAACAAATCACCTATTTCATTTTGGACATCTAGAGATTAAATAACCAAGATCCAGGGAGAAGTGAACAGTAGTGCATCCCACTATCCATTAATAGTAGCAACAGAATACTAATTAGTCACTAGGGCTCACTCTGTGCTCGGCATTCGTTTTAAGAAGCCTACTTGCATGTCACACTTAATTCTCACAACAACTGTACAGCCGCTCTCACTGTTCAGGTGAAACGAGTTAAGGCACAGAGAATTATGTAACTTACCTAAGGTTCAAGGTCATACAGCTAGTAAATAAGTGGAGGTGACTGCTAAAATCTCAGATAGTCTGGCCCAAGACCCACAGACTCCAACATGACTCCCTGCTGCCTGTCAGATAAGACGACTTTGTATCACTAAACCTGTTTGTACATGTAAACTTTCAGAGCTGACCGGCCCTGCAGCATGATTTTGTACCTAATCCCAAGGCCACTCGATTCTAGCTTATGGAAAGTTGGTAAGATGTTGCTGCCATTCATGTCAACTTCAGGGTGAAAGGGGTTAACCGCTTGCTTATGAACAAGCCCTATCACAGAGAGTCTCAGTTGCTATAATCAGAAAGCAATTTAGTTACATTTATTTTTGAGATACTTTTATAAGATACGTAATTGAAGTAAAGATTTACAGTGAGGCAGAAACAGTTTAATGAGTTCACTGTTTGAATGGCTCATGAAAGAAAGGAAGGAGGAGGAGAAGGAAGAAGACATGGAGGAATCAAAACACAGAAGGGCCCCTTTTTAGTCACTGTTCGCTACAGAATAAGCTGAGAGGGCTTAGACAGAGGCCCTCTTATTAGCATGCTGCCAACCAGACCTCAGCGCTGGTTCAGCTAATGTTATAATTATATCCAGAAAGAATAGCTACAACCTTCAGTGTTACATTTTCTAAGTTTTACATGCTACTCTTTTTGTTTTTGTCTTTTGAGAGATTATCAGCCCTTGTGTCCCAGATGCCCAAACCACTTTGCCCATTTCCAAACTTCTGCTTCCCTGTTTATAAAAGGATGAAGGATTAAACTAGGCTGCATCTGCTTCTATATCATGTTTTCCCCAAGCTATTCTTCCTTATGACACAACGGGCCTGTGCAGCCTTAAATCGGGCAGCCGGGGGAGAGACTTCAATTCTCTGAACTCTAGATTCAGGGGCTGCAGCATCTACCTGGAAGAGCCCAGGACTCCACAAAGCCCTGGAGATAGAAATTGAGAGCAGTGCAAAAATTGCCATTCCGCTGCACTTTAACTGAAGGAAGGATTCCTTTGGTACATTTATTTTGCAAGTCTTCAAGCAGGCACATCACCAAATTCCTTTCAGAGATGATCCAGCCCCTCACCACCCCCCACAGGGGACCTGCAAGGGAGCCTTTGAAATGCATACTTTCAGGCATACAGATCTACATCCTCTCTTCTTCAGAAAGGTGGCAGTGTTGCCTTGCAGTTTTAAGCAAACTACCAATGGTGGCGAGGTCTCTGGCTGATTAACATACCAACCGCCTCACCTTGTGGAAAGGAAAGGAAGGATTTAATCCATTGCAGACCCTTGTGGCTTGCGGTTACCACACCTGTTCCTTGGCCTCAGTGGCACCATGACTTGTAGTTGCCCAAGCTCTTGACTTTTCAACTTGGTTCAACAGTGCAAGAACAACAAATCTTCAACCAGTTCCATAGACACCTAAAACCCAGGAGCAGCAAAGGAAGTTATGGATGACCCTTGCCTCCCAACACCTATTTTTCTCATTTTTGGAACCATCCTTTCCTAGTGAAACCACTGTGCAGCACCATTTGCAAAGGCTGAGAGAAACAGCTCAACAAACCACACCAGCATCTTGCTGACACCTGTTACGCGGAAGGTTCACATCTGAGCTCTTAGAACAGCAATCCATCTTCTAAGCAGGTGTTCTGCCTCTACTGAGTGGGTTGTTACTACTGTTATAAAACCAACAATATATACAGAGCTACTGAAGAACTTAAGCAGTCAAGTGTCACCTGCCTAAGCATGGGAATCCACATACTGCTACCTAAGACGCGTGTGCACAACCCCTTCAGAAGGAGCAGCTAGAGTCCCATCTCTCCCTTCCACTCACCTCTCCTCAGCATCCTTTGGAAAGTTTCTCTATGTGCCACTAACACAGAAATTTGGGAGAAAATTCTCCATTTATAAATATCAGATGGTTTGGGAAAAAATATTTGTGGCACTGGATTTTTTTTTTTTCCCCTACAGTGATGTCATTTTAAATTCTTGGTGTACTCCAAATTTGCTATTTTTACTTCCCCCAAGTGACTTTTTTGGGAAATACATTTGTTTTGATTAGCTACATTTTAAGTGACCCTTGTACCTAATACACAAGACCAGGTTCATCTTCTCAGAAATTTTAACTGAACGTTCCACCGTTCCCAAACTTGAAACTCCTTATCTGTTCATTTTCAGAGCTCTCTTTGGACATACCCGCTCCAAAATTTCTATTCACAGATACAGGGAAAAATACCAGGAGGTAAAAGAATTGGCCTAGCCACAAACAAAATCCACACTCCACAACTGAAAGCATTTGTAACGGAAGACATGAAAGGCTCCCAAAGTCAAATAAAATTCTCCGCCTCCAAAATGTGCTTCTGGGGAACAGAGCTGAGGTAGCCACGGCGGGCTTCGAGATATTTATTGGAGAGCGGTTCTAGAGTTGAGAATCACAAAAGAGGAAAGTTTAAGAAGAAATGCTAAACGCCTTAGCCCTACCTGATCTGAACTTGCTTCTAATCAGCAAAGAATGCTCAGACCCCAGAAGTGTCATGGTGCGTCTCAGCAAGCCGCTGGTCCCTTTGCCAGACGCCCCCTGTTTTCCACCAGGAACAGGCTCCCGGGAGCCCAGCTGACCGCAGTTAACAACCCAGAATTCATCCAACTCTCTGTGAGCTCCCCTGGGTAGGAGAACATACAGTGGCAGCCGGTGTCCCCTGAAAACTGGCGCCTCCCCCCTCGCTCTGCGGGGCTAATTAACTCTTAGCCGGCAGGACCCTCCTCCCTTGAGGCCTGCCAGGAGCCGCGGCATCCCAGGCGTTCCTGGCTGATGTCATAGGCTGCCGGCGATTGCGGAGTAACGCCACCACGCCTTTATGAAGGTCCCAAATTTGCTATCTGATACTCTTTACTACTGACAGGCTCTCGGCCAATCAGGAGAGGCGAGCGGCGCCTGGGGACCTCGCGGCCAGGGGAGTCTCGGCGGCCGGTCTTAACTCTTTGCTGCGGGCCGAGAAGCGGCGAGGTGCGGAGGGCGGGACGGAGGGCCCGGGGTCGGGGGCACGGAGGGCTCGGGGTCCTGGGTCCCCTCAGGGCTGAGCTGAGGGAGCTGCACAGCCAGGCAGGACAGGAGGCGGCGACGCGCCGGGGCTTGCAGGTGGCGCGGGGCTGCGGTGCGGCGCAGCCGGGCCCTCCCAGCCAGGTCCGACAGCGCAGCCGGCTTCTCCGCCCCAGGGCTTTTCTGCCTGCGAGGAGGACGCGCCATCTCTCGTCCCGGCCACACAGACGGGAGACGGGACGCGCTCCCTGGACTGCCGCACGCCACGCTTTGGACGTCAGCCGGATCCCCCGAAAAGAAACCTGCCGGCCCCGCCGAGTGCCTATCCTCCCTGTCCCTCGTTTGAGGAGCTAAGTGTGCAGGACTATTGTACATCCCGCAACTTGGGTCTCAGACTTGGATCACTTCTACGGAGAAAAGGAGAAGTCTTTCATTTTTCTGAATCTGCTTTTTGAGAACATGTCTGACTCCGTGTGTCTGCAGGTCCAGCCTGGACAGCACGCTCCCCTCCACCCTTCGAGATGGAGGAAGATACACAAGTTGAACGTCCTGTGGGCTCTAAGGAGCTGGGGCTCACAGAGGGCGTGGATCTGGAGCTGGGGCCAGATCAGAGCGGGGCTGGGCTTAGCTGGTAGAGCCTCAAAAGCTTTTCCTGCGAATGAGGGAGTTTCTCCCTGGGGCAAACGTTTGTGCTCCTCCAACGCAGAGCTCTTAACGTCTAGAACGCACCCTATCTTATAAGTTCATCAACTGGGGGGACCCCAAACCCTGATCTCACTCAGCAGGCTTAAGAGCTGGCGATTCAGAAAATAAAAACCAAACTGTATAATATGTTATATTTGGATTTAATTTATTTGAAAACTATATGAACATGGGCAGCCAGGTTTTACCTCTGCCACCAGGCAGAATTACCTATGTCTCCGAGCTTTGCACCCAGAAAAGATCTCTTGGCGACAGGGGGAGACCTAATGTTAATACAGTTCATGGAAATGACCTCTAAGGCCCTGAGTCTAGGTCCCCTCTTCTGTTGCTGAAGCCCCACTAGAGTGGTTAGACCTTCAGTTCATTCTTTGGCTCAGACCAGGTCATTCACATAAAGAAGTTCTTACAGGATAGGAAATTGTCTTCCCCACCTGTCCAAGAGGAGGTGGAGCAATCTTGTCCAAGTTCCTCTTGGGAATCATGTCCTGGCCAGGCTGACTAGGTGAGCCGCAGCATCCCAGTGATTACATAACATTTTCCACACAAAGCATATGACTTTGCTAGGCCTTTTGGAACAAATCATCCCCTATTTAATGGTTTCAAACCACACACTGTTACTATCTTGGTGTTTCAGAGGTCAGAAGCTGGACATTGGTCTTGGTGGGTTAGAATCAAGGTGTGGGCAGACAGGGCAGTGCACTTTTCTGGAGGCTGCAGGGGGAGAACGTGTTTCCTTTCCCTCTCAGCTGCTGGAGACCACTCATGTTCTTTGGTTAAGGCCCATCTTCCATCTTCAAAGCCAGACATACTGGGTCAACTTCACATGTGAACACCCTCTCCCCATCTTCTGCCTTCCTCTTCCACACTGCTCTTACTGTCAGAGTAGACTCAACTGTAAGCTTAGGTGACTGTGGGCTTTAATTCCTTCTGCCCCCTCACCCCTCCTTGGCATGGGTGTACTATCAGCAAGGGTGCTTCGAGTAGGGAGGTGAGCACTCAGGGGAGAGGGCATTGTTCTGGGTACTCAAGAGACTCTGCTTTTCTTTCCAGCATCACCTGGTCCTCAGCCTCCGGCCTTTGATGAAAAGGGGTAAAGCAGAGGGAGGTTCGGGAATAAGGATGGCCAGGCGCCCAGGAAAACTCCCAGTAGCTTTGAGATGTGTGCAACAGGGGGAACTCTGGAGAAAAGAGATTAGTTGAATAAGGAATATTGCAGAATTATTAGAGAAAAACTATTCTGAGCAACATTAAAGAGGAAAGAAAAAAGGAAGGAAGGGAGGAAGGAAGGAAAGAAGGGAGGGAGGGAGGGAAGGAAGAAGGAAGGAAAAGAACAAAGGAAGGAAGGGCAGAAAGAAGAAAGGAAGGAAAGCAGGCCAGCCAGATTTTTATGAGGTCTCTGAGGTTGAGAAGAGATACACAGCACCTTGGCAGACAATTACGCATTTTTTCAGTGAAAGTTGTAATGACATCAGCTGATGTCAGCATTGAGTGTGAAGGGCTGTGTGACCCCACAGGGATGAGGGGAGTCAGGTGCTTTCCCTCTGCAGGGATAGGTGGAAGAGGAGGATGTGGATGGCAACAGACTTCCTGTTTTTGAGTGAGTCTGGGAAGTGGTAGCAACTATACCCATCCTCAATTTTCTCATCACTATGTGTGGAGCTGCTGACATCATCGCCTGGGATTTCTGCCCCCTCTGGTTTGGAATATCTTTAGATATGAATATGTGCATACAGAAGTTCATCCTTTGCCCTCTCTGTAAAGCATTATTTTATCACTGGAAGGGTACAGTCTGGACAGGAGGCTCCCAAGGAGAACAGAGCTCTCAGACCGCTATCCTCTGGGAGCAGCATGCTAATGCAGCAACAGCCCTGCAGTGTGACCACCTTGGCAGCACTTCTCCCTGCCGTGCTGTGCTGCCCCTTCTCTCCTGGGATTCAGAGCGAGCTTGTGACACAGTGCAGAGGAGAAGCATGAGCCCCAGGCCTGTGGAAGGTCATCCTTTGAAATCGAGCATCTTTGCCTTGGAGTGAGTCATTGAAGTCCTCTGAGATAATCAGCGCTTCATCTGTGGAATGGCATTAGAGATGCTCATTGCCCTGAGGATTTGGGGTATTTAGATGAAGTGTTATGTTTAGAGTGTCCAACGTAATTCTTTCTGATGTGTTTTAGACTCCTATCTTTACTTCCCTCTCCTTGACCACCTCCATTCCTTCACGAAGGTTCCCAGCAATCACATATCTTTTCTCTCTGTTTCAGCCTTTCCTTCTCTTTTAAAAAATAATTATTTTATTATTCCATGCTAATTATATAGAATCATTGTTTCATGGTGAGATTTTTATATATACATCATACACACATCGTTTGATTGTACCCACCGCCTTTTCAACCCTCCCTTGCCTTTCCCTTCCCGTTTCCTTTCCTCCCCTGAGAGTCTCTCTTCTCCTCTTACATTCCCTTTTCCCCTAGGTTTCACATAAGAGAGAAAGCATGTGGCTTATTTTTCTAACCTGCTCTCCAGTTCCATCCATTTTCCTGCAATGGCATGACCTGAATCTTACTGATGACTGAGTAATGCTCCATTGTGCATACACCCCACGTTTTCTTCATTTGTTCATTGATAGGAACAGAGGCAGAGTCTGTATCTTGTCTATTGTGAAGTGTGGCATGACAAACACGGCATATGCTTCTTTTGCTCTGCTATTGGGCATTTGTGGCTGTGAGCCAAATTACAGTTGTGGCCACACAGTGGCATATCATTCAGCAATGGACTGCACATATGACAGTGGTTCCATGAGATTATAAAGGAGCTGAAAATGTCCTATTGATTAGTGACATCACAACCCTTATAAGGGTACAGTGCAACATATCACTCATGTATTTGTGTTGACGTGGGTACAAACACACCTACCTCATTCAACACATACAGTGGCATATGGTAGATAATGCTTGATAAATGGTAGTGAAGGACAATATTACTGGTTTATGTGTTTACTATACCTTTAATTATTATTTTAGAGTGTACCTTATAAAAAGTTTTTTTATGAAACAGTGTTTTGTGTGACTCTAGCAGCAATCTCATACACTCCATGTTTATTATGTCTCCTATGCATAAGAGGCCATGTGGAGTGACTGACCTGTAGCATCTAAGATTGTTTAAACAGATGATATGATGTGGATACAATGTTGAAATCAACTCACAGCATAGTTAGCAGAATTTATCCCTTGACTGTATCACAAAATTTTCAGCTTGAAAGAACACACATCTGTATTAACCCCTGGTTTGCCTGGTCAAGAGGCCAGGCCAGGCTGATCTGTAAGACCCTTCTCCGTTAAGGGCTTGTAGGACTGTTGTCAGTGTGCTGACACTGGCTAGGGTTTCATGAGAGGTTCAGTGCCTTCTTCCAAGCTCCCTTTGTTGGCAGAACTTAGTTCCTTGCAGCTCTAGAGCTCACGGTGTCTTGTCTGTTTGAGTCCAGGAGGAGAATGTACTTTCCCTGGGCAGACAAAGCCCAGATTAAAGCCCTCACCTGATCATATTAGGCCCACTCAGGTTGATTTCCCTCTTGATTAACCTAAAGGTCTATTCATTAAGAACTGTAATTATATCTGCAAACCCCTTTCATCTGTGCAAAATAATGTAACATAATCAGGCAGTGCTGTCTGTCACGTTTCCCAGTCCCTCCCTTGCTGAAGTGGAGAGACGAATGTACAGCTCAGTAACAGGGGTGACACCTTAGAACTCCGGCTTCCATGGCTGTAGTTAGTCCTCAGCCTACAGCCAGGATGGGAGTGGTTGTGCCTGAGGCATGAGTCCATGCATAGCTCCGGGTAGCCAGCTTGAATTTTGATCCCTTACGGCTCTTCTTTCTTAGGCACGGCATGTGGGCAGCTGCTGTGTCCCAGGCAGGGCACAGGATAGGGAGCAGGGCAACAGTTGACCTGTGTTGACTGGAAGACCTCCAGGTCCCCCATTGAAGAGGCCAGGCCCCTCCTTCCACATTCCCCTCGCCCCATGCCCGGTCATCCTTCACTATCTTCGTGGGTCTCCTGGTCATCCTGTCCTGAGTGCCTGGCCCTGGTATCACTCTCTGTCTGCTTTCTCCTTCTTTCTTTTAAATGTCT